ATTATTATTTTTGGTTGAAAATATTCTTTTTTTTTATTGAATTTATTTTTTGTTTGGTTGAAAAAAATATTTCTGATTGAAATTATTATTTTTTGATTGAAGATGCTTTTTGTTTGATTGAATAATAAAAACACATATTTACCTCCATAGGTGTGGGGGCTTGTCAATTCAGCCTCCCTTAAAGCCCCACATACAGTATGATCAAACATACAGTACCAGGATGTTTTTAAGGATGTGGTGAAGCTCGTTAGGTAATCCTTTCAGAATGAAAAAATAATACATTTTTTAAGTCACTGAATTGTTAGTGACGTCTCTTCACTCGTGGCCAATTGAACTGTGTAAAGCAGCTTTGGGAGAATTATTTCAACAGGAAAATGTATCCAGAATGGCACATATTATGTTTGAGCAACTGCATAAAAGACAATATCTTATTAAACTTTGCTATTGACCAGAAAAATCACACTATCATTTGATTAAAAAACAAAACAAAAAAAAACAAACAAAAAAAGCAGCAAGATCAAGGTGCAAAATTTCCACCAAGTCTTTTTCTGATTATCAGATTCTATCGTGTTTCGATTAACGGTGAGGCACTGTGAATGTTATGATCCACAACCCAGTTTCTCTGTGGCTGAGAGCTCTTCATTCCTGCCTTTGTCCAACACTCTCGTCAGTTTTTCGTTGAGACAATTTAGAGAGTAGCTCTGGCCGTTCAGTTGCTGTATAAAAAAATAGCTAAACAAAAACAAAAATCAAAAATAGTGTTATCCTCTTCATTATTATTAATAATATGGTGTCAGCAAAACCTTTCATCAACCTGTGCATAAGTGTACGAAACAACACAGTCACTTTCAGCGAGTCGGACACTGAAGCAGCAAGCTATGATTTCCACCACAAAGAGCAACAGTTTGATGTCCTTGGGTGCAGTTAGTTAGTGTTTACACAACAAACACATGAAATCAGGAGGCAGAGAGGAGAAAAGGAGGACGATAGAAATGTGATGTCCTCCACATTCATTCTAGCTTCTTAACCTCCTCTTCTCCAGGACCTGATCCAGTTTAACTCCCCATCGATCCCTCCACACAATCCTCTGCCCCCCGGTGTCCACTGAGTGAGGAGGAGGAGAGGTGCTCAGGAAGGTTACAGTCTCTCGATTTCCCTGTATTTCTTCCGCAGGATAGACACCTGGTCTTTGAACAGGACTGGGTCCAGCCTCATCCGAGAATGGACCAGAGGCATGGTGCCAAACCAGCTGGCAAACTTGTTCATGCAGGTCTGGCGCTGGGCAAAATGGTCTGGGTCGGCCCAACGGGACGCTCTGGAGCTCTGATGGTAAAACAAAACAGGAAACAGGTGAGAAGCGGTCGTGTATGGAAGACAAAAGATTAATAAAACAATGTAATCTCAGTTATTGGTGACCTTTGGCCTTTTTGCACTGCAAGGCCTGGCTCAGGTTGGCCCGAGCTGGCCTGGTTTCAAACCTGGGTTCAGCGTGTTTGCATCAGTCCTTGTGGCCCAGGTCCACCCCTGTTCCTGGATCCCTGAAACCCATGGTTCTATCCGGTCAGCTACTGCTCCTCACTGATTGGTTCACTGACCGGGGGCGTCACGTCACACAGATGAGAGTTATGTTGTCACGCTCAAGTTTAACTACATAACAGTAGCATGCTACCAACAACAAGAAGCTAACATTAGCTTACCATCCTCTATTGCAGTGGTTCCGAACCTTTTTAGACTTGTGTACCCCCCTGAGCCATTTTGTCATACCACCCCTCTGTCAAATGTAATGATGATTCTCCAAAACTATAATGTACAACAGCTGATTATTATATGAACATTATTTAATTAAGCCCCGAGAACGTTTAATTCTCAGGCATTTTATTCTTTTCAACTCAAATTAAAAATAAAGATGAATATGTTGCCTTGAAAGTGAATAAGTAATTATATGGCAGGTGCAGGAAGCGGCACTGTTCAAAATACATCAAATACCCCAAATTAGCAAATTCCGTGAGATTCCGCGTTTTCTACATGATTCCATTTCATGTTAATTTCGTGATTCCGTTTGCATTTTCCGCATTGTGGAAATCATAGGGCCTAGTCCTATTTTTATTCACTTTTTTACACACATGGGAAATTTTTTCATGTACCCCCTGTTATATGCTCACATACCCCGTTAGGAGTCACTGCTCTGTTGTCTTGCCCTCTCATCTTCAGCATCATACTGCTGGATGGTCCTGTACTTTGGTATTTTCCTTCAAGTTTAGTGTTGTCCAATATTATTGTGTCGCAAATAAAACAAAACAAGATTTGTGTGTTTAATATTATGATCTCGGGCGGCTCTCTGCTCAGTGCAAACACAACCAGGGCCGGGGTGGAATAAGGCCAGGCTGATGGATCGTGGGCAAGCCAAGCCTTACAGTGCAAAAACAAATCTTGAATCTCCTTGTTAAGTAATTAGAAAATGAGATGAATGATTAATGATTACGTCACTAAAGCTGGTTCAACATACAGAGGTGAAACCAACTACTCCTCGCTCACCTGTCCCATCATCGTTTCCTTGTACTGTTTCTTTTGGGTGACCTTGATGGGTGGTAGTTTAGTCACTGACGACACAAGAAAATTCATGAGAATGTCCTCGCAGTTTGACATCTGGTCGACCATGCCCCTCAGACTCTCTGGCAGGTAGGCGGTGTACAAGTGGTGGTAATATCTGCGGGAGAAGAGCGATGGAGTCAGAGGAGCCTTGATAAGGTCAAGCGCCGTTAAAAAACACAGAGAGGGTGAGGTGTCAGTACTTGTGATAGATGGCAGCTCCAGTCAGCACCATGGAGTAGTCGTTGGTCCATTTAGAAGTGTAGCCCCACCTCTCCTTGTTGCTGTCCCAGAAGTGGCTGCGAGCCGGGTAGCCAACGATGCGGTCAGGGAAACTCTGCCACACCGTGAAGGCAAAGTCCACCTGAATCCAGTAGAAGAAGAAAAGGAAAGAAAAGTCAACACAGCCTTTGTTAAAATGATGGTTAATGTTTAATGTAGTTTGCAGGAAGACTGACCTCGGTGGTGGAAAGCACGGTGTCTTCATCCAGACTGAGCACAGCATCAGTGGGGATGGTGTCGTAGGGAAGAAACCGACTGCCTATCACCTGGTGTCATTTGTACAATGCAAAAAAAAAAAAAAAAAAGGACAGATCTTACTGTGAGGAAGTAAATTTACAGCTTTAATTCTGATTTTAATTTTGATAACATGTTAAATAGTCAACAAAAAGAAAAAGACTTGCAAATCTACTAAACCCCTATTTTATTCACAAAGGAATCCTGCAGTTTTTGGACCAACAAGTGTTTGAGACATGTGAATCTCAGACCTGTTTCCTCTGCACTGACGCACAACTTTTTAAACACACCCAAACAAAAGCCTAAAACCACAGACTCATGGCTTCCAGTGCAGATGATGCAAATTGGCTGCAGTTGTGCACAAAAGGGAGAGGTTCATGGATAAAACTTTTACCTTGCTTTCTCCTTCTATAACAGTAACAGGGACTGAAGTGGCAGGCCAGCGGTGCTTGGCAGGAAGAGGCTTGTCACAGTTCCAGAGAATTATCACCTGCACAAAGGCAACATAGAAGAAACATGAGTCAAAACTCCTGATACATTTTCTATTTCATTTAAATTCGTGTATTTATGCAAATGTTCAAAATAGATTCAAATTATTGAAAGCCTTAAGTCAACGCAGTATTTATCAACCTACATAATGATAATTTAATTCAGAGGACTTTTTTTTTCCCTCAAAGGGACTATTGATGTAGAAAAAAACACTTCTAGATGAAACTATTTTAGGATCAGTCCTACCACCTACAACAACAACAAAGCAATGTTGTAAGAACACTGACATCTCAGCAATACAGCCCAGCATCAAGGCAAACTGAACTCACTGTTAGTAAATCAGCAGAACAGCCCAACATTGGAACAAAAACCCATCATAAAGGCAAGTTTGTGTAGTGAAAACAGTCCAAACACTTCTGCTAGGGTCTGGGTTTTATTCACCTGAGCACAGTACTGAGATTTGGCCACGGCTACGATCAGCTTCATCACAGGCTGGGACAGAGAGACCAGCGGGGTGACCACGTGAATGACTGCTGTAAACTTAGGGTACGGCTTGATTCCTGCGAGACAGAAAAACACCTCGTTTTTGTAAAGTCGTTGAACAATGTTGAACAGAGATGAAGAAGTTGTAGCAGAACGTCAGGTCTTTTTGTTCAATATTCCAACCGAACACAAAGTTAGAGCTGTGGAAGTAAAAAATGCTTCAAATGTGGATGTTGCTGCAAAGAAGAGCCACATTTGGGTGGCTGTGTCTGAGCGCAGGCTTCCTACAGCTTAAGGCAAGTTCAATTTAAGATGTTTAAGTCTTTTTAATGCCACTTGAAATAAAATTTAAGACCAACATTACAATAATAGACAAATAAAAAAACTATTTCACCCAATTATTTATTTGAACACAACAACAAGCTGCGAGTTGCATTCTGTAATTTTTTTTTTTTACAAAGAAACAAATGTTATCAATTATTTTAATATTTCAATGAATTACATCCATCCGACTAACAATGTGTTAACATTTTTATAACCTCTGAAAGATTAATGGCATTTTAAGGCTTTTGAAGGATCTGCGTCCTCCATTGAGAGTTGGGGGTTCAATTTTACCGCTTTTCAGTCATATGTCAAAGTGTCCCTGGGCAAGACACTGAACCTCCACTGCTTCTGATGTGTCCCATCAGAGTCTGAGTGCGATTTAAAGCACTGGTTAGTGTCTACAGATTGATTTACCTGTATTATTATTATTATTAAGATACCAGTTCACAGTGTTTCAAAACAGCAAGACTTGTGATCTAAAATCAAAAAACCTTAAAATAGAAATATGTTGCAGGACATTGTGACATCAGAGGATTAGTTCCTTAATCTTGTGAATATTACTTCAATATTTTATTCTGTCGGAGACTGAAATTAATATTTAAAAGTTTAAAAGGAAAGGATTCTGAAGTTTTTCAGTTAAAAATCCTTCTGCAGGATTTTCTTCTCTGACAGCTGGTTTTACAAATCTGTCAGCTTCAATATCGTTTCCAGCTCTTTTCAAACAAATAAATATATATATTTTGAGCATTGCTCCAACTTCTGCTGGATCTGAATCTAAGTTTTGCCGATATTCAAGTCCCGCCCCCCACTTGATTCCTGATTGGCTAGTGTAGGCGTGTCTTGATTGTTTAAAATGAAAGCTGCACCTCTGATTATTATCTGTTAAATATCTGGCTGGGCAAGCCTGAGTTTTATAT